TATCCGAAGTTGGCCGTCTATCACAGTCTGGAGTATCGGTTCAGTTTTTCTCTTGACAAAAATATGAAAACCTCATGTTCAGGGTGAGAAGTGAAAACAGATTTTGTATAAAATACTCACCTTAAATAATTGCTTTTTGACACGAGGAAAATGCTTCTTCACAAAATTGACGATTATACTTTGAGCACAATAGACAAATGTTGTGGTATGCTCCATGGAATCACTAACAATAGCCATATCTCGATGTTCTGATCCGATGGTTAGATGAACAGTAAAGAGGGTCGCTTGATGTTGAGAAAAGAAATCCTGTTGCACTTCACGCTGACGAACGAGGGTGTAATTCATGGAGAAGTCGATCTGAGCAGTGATGAAGGTCTTGTTAGTCGATTGTGTTCGAAGATAAGTGATGTATTCTCGCTGTTGCCGATTGTAATAAGTATGTAGAAGAAAATAAGGCCATTCTCCTCCATTTCACATAGAAGAGAGTCAAGAGAACCTGTCCCTTTTTGAAGATCGAATTTGTTGTTCACTTTTTTCCAAATAGTCCACGAACAGTCGTCATCAAGGTCGGTTGCAATGTGTTCAGTGAGAAGATTTTGTAGTTGTGCTGATGGACATTGATCACATTCATCAGTGTAGCAATCTTCTGACGCAATAGGGCATATCATTCGATCGATGAGATTATTCATCGTAAATTTCTCGGCTGTTGAAGTAGAGGATTTCTTAGATGTTCGTTGGCAGTTTTCGTTCCATTTCTATAAAAAGTTTTGAAATATTTGATAATCAAACGATGACAACTTTACGCACCTGTAGTAACAAATGCATATTCTCGTGATATATGCACATACATGTTTCATGAGGTGAGGCAATCTTGACATTTAGAGGCCGGAAAGAATAAAAAGTTGAGCGTCGAACGAGACCAGGATTGCGTTTGTCGAATTCTCGGAAAGCATCGAGGACAGTCATTTCCATGAAGCGAACAGCTACTGGTTGCTTATTGATTTGAATGACATCCTTTGAATTCGCCGACACACGACTAATGTCATCTTCCCGATAGAATTCGATGACAGCGTTGATTGCTTCTGGAGAGACTGCTGGATTTCCACGGAGATATTGAGGAAAAGCGAGAACATTATTATTGTCTCGAAGCTGAATCGCTTGACGTGCATGATGCTCCGTTGATTGAAACCTAAGAGAAAAAAGTACAGAAAATTAGTTTCACAACTAGAAACATAAATAGGACGTTTACAATCTACGCACCATTTTTTGGTTTTTCTACGACCCCACGTTTTTGGTGCAATAGTCATCAATCGCACCTTCTCAGCTGCATTGCTCTCCTTGAATAACTTCTTTAGCCCTGTGATTAATTCATTCGATTCCTCAATACGAAGTTTATGAGGATTCGCTTGTGTCGAGCTGTTGACTTTTCATTCAAGAACATTACACAGTTGATGAAGGGTGATGTACACCTGATCGATTTGACGCCGGATTGGAGCAACATTGGATCTTGAAAAAAAACATTTTTAAAGAGTTAGAAGAAATTTGTGAACTCACTGATCATGAATCGGGCTCATATTCAGCATTCGAAAAACATTGGATAATGTTTCCATTGCTTCTTCTTGCTGATAGGTTAGTTCATGAAGTGAATCATCATCACTACTTTCGTCTTCATTACTATTTTCTTCTTCTTTTTCTTCGTCTTGTTCTTCTTCATCATCATTTGACATATCATCATTTGAACTAATATTCTCTTCGACATCCATCATTCCATCTTCTGCCATCTGCTTGCTCTCGAATGCGTGGAATTTTGCACAGAGTCCACTGACATTAACATCACCGAGACCATACCGGTCACGCATAAATTGATCGAGTCGTAAAGAAACTGGTCTTTGAATTTTTGGTGCATTGAGAGAGTCGATATGTCGTGTTGGATATTCGCAAAATTTTCTTCTCGGCATTTTCTTTTTCTTTTATGTAAGCCGGTCAACGAGTAGCTCTTCGATCGGGCCCACTTTGATGATTCATTTCAATTCTATTCGTTCTGTGCGAACACATATTATGGACGTTCCTCCGCGGAACAGATATCGTTACATGCTTATCACATTTTTATTCGAATAATATCTCCAAATAATGATCGTGTTACTTTTTCGAACAACATTTAACTATTCCTCTCGAAAATGTATCCTTACACCAACAATCAGGATCAAACAAATTACAACGATCAATATCGCATGTCATAGAAAGTTCTTTAAAACGCTTATCTCAACGATGAGAATAGATCGTGCATGACGTTGTCAAGCTTTCTTCCGTTCACTCACAGAAAATCTTTAGTTTTCCTTAAAGAAGTGTATATAAAGCACTATATGTGCTTACCATTCTTGTCACGGCAAAGCTTGGACGAACGAAAACTAACCTGTTTTAAAGATTTTTCAAAGTAAAATACTAAATCAATAACTCTGGGATGGTAAATAGAAGAATTAGTTGAAATAGCTCCTTACAAGACCCTGCACAGACATGTACCGGAATATGTGACAAAATCTCGAAGATTTCATGAACATGTTCCTAGTTTTTTTCAACCAAAGGTGTTTTCTACTTCGGTGCTATATATTGAACCCAAAAAAAGTACCAAAAAAAAACTTTTCCAAATCATGGTATTTTTCCCATGGATTCATCCATTTAAACAAATCAAACAGTCAACAAAATTAATTAATCGAAAACGAGCTAAAATTAAAGATTATTATTGATCTTTTTCAAATCATATACAAATGTTCGAAACAGTACATAATAATAAGTCGATGATTTTCATCATTGTTATATAAAATTTCAATTCATTTTATGGACTTTAATAAAAATTATAACGGACTGACGAACCTTTCGAAAATTTTCATTTTGACCTGTTCATCTAAAAAAATTCTTCGCTAACCGAGTTCTCATTGAGAAATTTGGTTGAATCTATTGATGTTTCAATATTCCTATATCATAGTTTCATTTTTCGAAATTCTCAATAGACTCTTCTTCTTTTCCATAGCACAATATGGAATTAATGAATTTCTAACAATTTCCGTTAAACATTGTGTTGTTCTTTCATATATTCTTATTTATCCAATTGGTTATTAATCAATTTCAATTGAACCAGCCATCTTTTCAACAATTTTTTAGATAGATGGCTCATTTTATCAAAAGTTCTAATCCAGTCCTATCACTTTTCCAGAAGTCGGAGTCGGAATAACTGACTTTTTTCTGAATTTTAATTTAAACTATTGATTTTTCCAAAACTTATATCTAGATAATTTATCTCTGATACATTTTGTTTGTGTTAATCGACTTCTTCAAAATCTTATGCAGGCGTTGTTTCTTTTGAAATCTATTGACATTCCAAAAAAACAAGAAAAGCAACTAGAATTTTTTGAACTCAAATGAAACTTGATTTTTTTAATAGTCCAATCCATCGATTAATCTTGGAAAACTTCTAATGGAATCTATTGACTTCCCCAAATAATTAATCCTAATACGACTAAACGTGATTTAAATGAAATTGGTTGACACTCAAGAAGTGTTAGATAACCAATTCATTTTTTATAATGTATGGGAATTGAACAGCCTAATATTGCAACTCTTTTCGCATGCTTTCACTGTGTATTAGTTCTCGTTTATGAAAATCCCAAAATGGGTCAGGTTCCACAATGGATCGGTTATAAATACCCTGAATCATAATTGTTTAGTTGAGTCGCTAAAATTCTGTAAGTGTTGTTACGATTTTCAATATATTTAACAACGAACTAGTAATAGTAAACCATCAGATGATGCCATTTCATAAGTTGGATAGAACATATATCAGAAACTCAAATGGCACGACACATACTATACATAATTATATCGCAGACATAAAATTCTTGCTAGTAATAGTAGCTAGTCAATCGATCGAATAACCGACCGCGGCAACTGCACCTCTATTTATACTCGAGTATGGCCTTATCGATATCAAATTTTCTTATTGCTTAGTCTCTATATTGTTTTGGCAAATCTTTTGATCCATAATGACAATATCCAACTGTTCTATTGTTTAGTCTATAATTTTTCGTCAACTCTTGTGATCCATGATGATGATCATTTGGTGATCTTATGTTTCGATCACTTCAAATAGTGTTTCTTTGAGTTTCGCTGTACTTTCATCTTTTCATGATCATATTCAGATGCACTTAATCAACAAAGATAGCTGTCTTTGTATCGATCACTCCATATAGTTATGGACGACGAGTATATTAATGGTTTCAAGTAAAATTGTAATAATCTCTCCCTACTCTATTTTTCTTTTTCATTCTTCGCAAGACGAAGTAGAAATCTTCCCGTTGATGCCAATAATTTTAAAAATACTATTTTTGTTTGGACAACAGATCATAAAGATCGAACTAATAATGAATATATTGCAGTAATCTTCATTTGTAGAGCTCAACCCACCATTAATGATAACCGATGTAAGACTCTAAAATAAATTAAGCATTCGTATATAAAAATCTCAAAAAATATCTGTTTCGTCATTTCATATTTCTATATCACTTTAAAAAAAGAAATTAAATTTTATTTAAATTAGATACGACGATATCGTTCGATTTTTGCGTCGAACATTTTCATTTGTGTGACTTCTTCTGTAGACAAAATAGTTTCCTGTTGTGTGCTATTTTTCTTCTCGCGGATTGACTTCGAAACATCAATGCAGAAAAAATATATGTCGCAATTGAGTTTAGATTTGAAAAAATGACTCAAATGATTCATCTCAAATGAAGCTAGTACGCGTTTCAATTTCTGTGTCATCTTTGATCTTTCTCATTTATCCAACCTTAGAGATATCATTCAAATTACTTTTGATAAAGACAAAATAGCGATCAGCAACATTTATCTTCATAATGTATAACCAAGACATGCTAATGTGAAAAAATATAAGGAGACAAATGCAAGATTTTCCCCAAATGATCTAGAAAAAGTCAACATACTATGAAAACCACTTGTAACGTTAAATACGATACAGCGGTATTTTCTGGATTACTAAGTTACAAGACACAAAACATTGAATGTTCTCCATGAATCAGATTATTCTTTTCCATTGACACCACCACATCACCGACATAAGTTAAATCAACAAACTACATTTATGATTTCTTGTTATATTTTAAATGTAACTAGATTTGATAAAGTTTGTTTCTACGAAAGCATTTATGAAATAAATAAACTTCGATATAAAGTACTTTTTTAATAGATTTGCACTTCATTTAATACCAGTAGATCGTGCATTTCATTCGATGAATAATGTTCAAGAATTTTTTAAAAAGCAGAATATTGTTCTTTCCTTCAGATAGTCTTCATTTAATGAAATTTTTCCGATAGAAAATTTTGAGAAAGTAACACACATTCGGATTCCCCGACTTCGAGTACCTTTGATCAAACATTATTTCCTCTAATTCGTCAAATTTTTGGTCATTCATTCTGATTCGTTGATTTTAGGGCGGCTTCAATCTGATTGGTCAATTTTAGGAGCGCTTCGATCTGATTAGTCAATTTTTGGGGTCCTTCAAACTAATTGGTGAGAAGTCCGATATTGAAAGTCTCTAATTGGCTGAACGCCTAGTCCGAAAAAATTTGATTGGTCGAAAGCCCGACATCAAAAACCTCTGATTGGCTGAACTTTCAGCCTGAAAGAATCTGATTGGTCGAAAGCCCCATATCGAAAACTTCTGATTGGCTGAACTTTCAGTCTGAAAGAATCTGATTGGTCAAAAGCCCAATATCAAAAATCCCTGATTGGCTGAATTTCCAAGCTGAAAAAACCTGATTGGTCAAAAGCCCAATATCAAAAATCCCTGATTAGCTGGATTTTCAAGCTGAAAGAATCCGATTGGCCGAAAGTCCAATATCGAAAATC